GAGGTAGATGGCGGCGCAGGAGCCGCGGAGTGCTGGATGAGCTCATCCGAGCTTCCAGCAGGAGCTGATGCAGAGCCAGAGAGAATTGGGACCCCTGGCTCAACATTAAGCTGGCTAGAAAACTGCACTGCTACGGGGAGCTGGGCCAAAGGTTCAGGTGCTACCTGAGCTGCTGGACACACGGGGACCTGAGCTGCTAATGGTGCTGAAGTAGATGGCTGCATGGGAGACTGAACTGATGGGGAAGCTGATGCCTGAGCTAAGAACTGGGCTAATGACTGAACAAAAGACTGCAATACGTATTGAAGTGGCTGTTGTGGTGATGGCAGTTGTGACAGTGGCTGAACTAAGTCTTCTGAGCCTTCTGAACACGAAGAATATGGCTGGACGGACACCCTTGAGCTTGCAGTGGACACAAAAACTGGTGCATGCATCTGCAAGACACGAGCTGCTCCCACCCGAGGAGTAGGTACGGGTGCTGGGATGAACGGCGCCTCTGCCAGGCTGGGGACAGAAGCAGGGACCAGCTGGACCTCAGCCACCCTCACCCGAGGAGCTGATACGGGTGCAAGGGAAAGCTGGGCCCGCGCTGCCCTGGGTAGAGGAAGGTGGGCTGGTTCTAGTAACTCTGCTATACACAAGTCATAATTAGCAGCCTTTAAAACAGTCACTATAGGGAGGGATTCAGACTTGGCAAACTCTGGGTCAGTAACCCTCAGCTCAGAATGGGAGATTACAAAAGCAGGTGTATTTTCACTGACCAACTCAGAATGAACTGGCTGGTGGGCTGCACAGTCCAGAGGCATAAACTCAGTGGTAACAGGGACTGGCACACAGGCATGGTGAGCTGGTTTACATATGAACGACTGCGGAACACAAACTTCGACCTGAGTCAGAAGTTCTGAAGCACTCAGTCCAAACTGTTTAGCTGGTTTAACTATGTTGCCATTTACATTTACCGGCTGAGGTGCAGCACCGTCCCGGGTTTGAGTGGCAGTCCCATAGGAAACAACCCAAAAAGTTGTTTCGTGAGGCGCTTTCTGAACATTCTTTGCTGAGACTGAGCTAGATGCCTGGTGCACAGAGTTCAAATGGTCAGACCGTGGAACACAACACTTAACCGAGCCCATTTGGTTACTGTCATGGATTTCTGGTGACAGAGCAGGTGAGCAGGTAAGACAGTCACTCTGAATAGCTACATGGCTAATTGTCTCCATATTACCAGGTTTAGGCAGAACAACAGGCACAAAAACAGAAGCTACTGAGTTAACAGCCTCGAAATCCTGAAGCTCTAAATCTGCTGAGTCACAATCTACGGATTCAGGCTTAACAAAATCCACGGAGGGAAGCACAGTCTTACTCACAGAGGATGCAACGTCAGGGTGCCTGGGACCTGAACGCTCGAGCGGAATGTGAGAAACACGATCACTCTCACTAAAGGATGAAAGCTGCTCCGCTGCTCGGGAACGCCGGCGACGTGAACGCCGTTTTGTCCGGGAAGAGGGAGGAGACGAGCCGGGCCGCGAATCCTCCAGCGGACCGGGCTGAACATCCTCCGGCTCTTCATACTGGAGTAGCTGCTCCGGGCGGATGCCTACAGTGGAGATGAGGAAGTCCCGAATGTAGGGGTGTAGCGCGCCGAATAACCATGGGAGTCCGGACACCATCCTCTGTAGACGGATGGCTACGGTCTCCCGGTATTCTCCCCTGGGCAGCGCTACCCACTCCTGACAGTGGTATGCCACCGTGTAAATCAGGTCCTCACGGAGCTCGGCGGAGGGGTTGTGAGCTGCTGGGTCCATGTCGTGGTCGCGTTCTTCTATCATAGATCGGTTGTGTGGCAGGCGGGAGGAGGACCCAATCGCAAGATTCACAAACACGGGGAGTAACTCAAAAGCAGCTTTATTGCTGTCAGGC